GAAGGAAAAAGCCACTTTCTCTCTTTGTCTTCCTGACATTTCTGGCCACTCAGGTACCCCAAATGACACTATGCATGCAGACTGTGTGAATTGTAGAGGCAGAGACAACTTAGCATTTATTTCTGGGCTGGCGGAGCTCAGGCACTGTCCAGCAGCTCCCTAACCAATGTGACTTCCTGACAGCCTGGCTGCATGGGTCCCCTGGATTTCCCCTGCTTCAGAAGCCCGAGCTCCCTGGAACATGGACAATGGCCACCTTAACTGTTTCACTGGACAGAACCGTTTTGTGTAACAGTGTCCCTAGGCAGCTACCACAGTTGGAGAGGTTGCAGGTAAAGGATCCTAAAGAAAATGGGGTGAGTGTAGGATGGATTTTCTGTTGTGATTGGGATTGCACAAAGTAGAAATCCAGTTGATTGTTCAGGGTTGACCATCTGGGAGTCACACGTCTCTGGGGTAAAGTAACTGAGTAACTGATCACCTGGATGCAAGGCTGCTTACCACCTGGTAGGCATTCAGTGGTTGCTGTGACTGGAGCCCATTCTGTTTGGTCAGTGTCTGTGTTGTAGCTGTGGTTAAATATTTCAAGTGTCACTCCTTGGAATAAAGTTCCCACTGAAGGACAGAACTTTTAGGGACCAGAGCAGCATAAAGGGCCCAGCCGAGTCTGAGAGCATTGGGAAGCTCAAAAACATGCACTGGAGATCTCAGATGTCTACAACGCCTTCTTTAGACACGGATGGAATGTGCAGATGTTCCCACGACAGCAGCAAAAGACTCGGCCCTTGCTGCTGAATACCTGAGATTGCTGAAAAATAAAAAGGCAGAATTGTTCATCTTCAATTATGGTTGGTTTCACACTTTCCCGATCTCTGGTGTTATGAATTGCTACTTCAGTGATAGCTGCAGGGAATTTTTAGAAGATGTCAGGAGACCACCTCAAACTTGAAGACAACTTGTGGCCAGGTGGGGTGGCCCATGTCTGTAATCCCAGCACTTTGGGAGGCCAAGGCGGGTGGATCACGAGGTAAACAGATCGAGACCATCTCTACTAAAAATACAAAAAATTAACTGGGCATAGTGACACGCGCCTGTGGTCCCAGCAACTCGGGAGGCTGAGGCAGGAGGATCACTTTAACCTGGGAGGCAGAGGTTGTAGTGAGCCGAGATCATGCCACTGCACTCCAGCCTGGTGAGAGAGTGATCCGTCTCAACAACAACAACAACAAAAAAAAAAAACAAAAAAACCTGCTACAGCCTACTCTCATATTAGCCTTTGTTGGCATATTTTTCTATTCCCGAGATAATAGTTACAGCTAGGAAAAATGCTTACGTTCAATGAGTCTCCCTGATTAGTCAAGAAGAACACTAGGGAACGGATTCTACTTGCCAAATTCTACCTACATTTATATGTGTGTGTGTGTGTCTATATGTGTATATATGTGTGTGTATATATATATATATATATAGTTTGTTTATTATTATTATTATTATTTTTGAGACAGAGTCTCACTCTGTTGCCAGGCGTGCAGTGGCACAATCTCTGCTCACTACAACTTCCACCTCCTAGGCTCAACCAATTCTTCTGCCTCAACCTCCGAGTAGCTGGGACTACAGGCGTGCACCATCACACCCAGATAATTTTTGTAGCAGGGACGGGATTTCACCATGTTGGCCAGTATGGTCTTGATCTCTTGACCTTGTGATCCACCCGTCTCAGCCTCCCAAGGTGCTGGGATTACAGGTGGGAGCCACCGTCTATATTTTTAATAATCCAGAAAGTTACTTTCTAATGGCTATGTGCACATACACACATTTGATATGTCTCATTTTGAGTGTCTGTGGTGGCCTATCCTTTCGGGCTTTTTATCAAAAAATAAGCTGAAATTTGTGATAAGAAAAACAGCCTTGGCACTAAATTCAAAAGGATATTTGGCAGATGCTTCAGCCAAAGGAAAAGAGCAAGAAAACACTGTTCTTAAATTCCCTGTTCTCTCACATGTCCACTTGTGACAACTAAGTTTGTGTTGCCAGCACAACAGCATTCCTTGCTGAAACATATCCTGATGCAAATGTCTCAGTGATACTGAGGTAGTGGACACGTGGGAGGTTTTTTGGCTGCCCAATGTCCGTTTCCCCTTCCTAATAACATCCTGGTTTCCTTTTGTACAGTCTGGGCGGACTAGAATCCAGGACCTTCTATAACCTTGAAGTGGACATGCCCTGATGCTAGCTGGGTCATATAGGTGCCCTTTTCTTGGTCCTCGAGACCCTGGGCCAAGGGACAAGTGCCCAGAATGGTTGGCGCTGGACCAGGCAAATGCCATCTCAGGCCATGCTGGCCTCACGGTGAAATCACTGCTGTGTCCTCAGAATCTTTTACCCCCATATGGTCCTGCCGTTACCAAGCCTTGTTCTCTGCCTCCTAACAGTTCTTCCAATAAATTATCTTATTAAATTAACCAGTCTTTTTCAACAGTTTGTTGAAAAAACCCAACTGATACGACTACCTTCACCCTCTTCTGACATGTCAGTAACTGGAAGACCAATGTGTTTGGAGTACCTGTGGATGAAGGATGGCAGCTTTGTGAGTAACCTGTTTGCTTCTGCAGAAATGGAAAGGGACTGCCAGATAGCATAGCCATTTGGGTTGCCAAAGAGAGATGCAGAATCAAGTCTGGATGCCGGGTCCTCAGGAAGAGGGCAGATGGGATTCTGATAGTCCAGATCTGCCTTCACCGACCCATTGTGATTCTGTTAGAATCAGTTTCTTTTCAGATGAAAGTATCTCTTGTTTAAGGCAACTGGAATTGTTGTTGTTATTTTACCAAAACCAAATTATCTAGAAAAAAGAAAATAGGTTATTTTAGGGACAATTTATGTATACAACATAGGTAACTTCCTTACAAAAGTACAATTATTCTTACTTTGATTTTATGACATGTTAATCTTTTTTGTAATACGGATGGGGTCTCACTATCTTGCCTAAGCTGGTCTCGAATTCCTGGGTTCAAGTGGTCCAAACACCTTGGCTCCCAAATCGCTGGCATTACAGGCATGAGCCACTGTGCTCAGTCTGTTTTAACATTTTTTAAAGTCTAGATTACTTTTTCATATTAAAAACAACAACAACAACAACAACAACCTTTTAGGACAGCTTTCTTCATGGCTACATAGTATTCCTCTGGATGGCTGGCACTACAATTTGTTTAGCCAATTCTCCGTCGTAAGACATTTGTGCAGTTTCTAATTTTTACTCTTACAGACAGCGTTGCAAAGGACCTTAATAAAGATGCATCTCTTTGTCATATGGCTTTACTTTTAGCATAAATTGCTAGACATGGAATTTTCATGTATGCGTATTTTAAGCCTCTCTGTTGTCAAATTTGCTTCCAGAAAAGCCCCATGGGAGTGCACGTCCACCAGCAGTGTATGAAAGTACCAACCAATGGATTTTTTACTTATGAGATATACATACAGATTAGCATATAAATGCATATATGTGCAGTTTCATTAACCACCTATGTATCCACTGTACAGGTCAAAAATTGAACATTGCCACCCCAGCCCCAGGATCCCTGAGTCTCCCTTCCATATCACAACATCTTTCTTGCCTCTATCTTGATTTTTGTGCAAATAGTCTGCTGGCTTTTATTAATAATTTTACCACCTGTGTAATGCATCTCTGAACACTATCATTTAGGTATGCCAGTTTTAAACCCTGATGCAAAATGGATCTTACTACAGGCATTCTTTTGCAGCTTTTCTCTTTTGCTCAATATAATCTCTCAGAGAGTCATCATTTGGTTGTGTATAGCTGTTTTGTTCATTTTTATTGTTATATCATATTTCATTATAGAAATACATCACAATTTGCTTATCCAGTTTTACCATTAAGAGATATTTGTATGTAGCCTTTGTGTCTGGGGTCTTTTACCCAACATGTGTCTGAGAAGTTTCTCCAAAGCTTTGTGTGTAGCTATAGCTCATGATTTTCCATTGCTGCCTAGTGTTCTCTTATATGACTATATTACACTTTGAAACTTACATAAATATATGCTTAAATAAGTTTGGGTCTGTGTTTGAATCCTGTGTTGGGGTCCATTGGATTATGTGTCTGTTCTTGTGCCAATAACCCAGAGTCTTAATTTCTGTAGATTTTGATAAGGCTCGTTACTTGACAGTGGAAGTTGTCGGCTTTTTCTTTTCTAAAATAGTCTTCATTCATCTTGATCCTTTCCCTTTCATCCTTGTTGCTGCCTATAGTCGTAGTGTGTCTATTCCCGTTTCTGTTTCATATTCTATCCTGTGAATATACCACAACTTATCTATCCAATTACATGTATGTTAGTGCAGATTATAGTTTGAGGCTGTTACACATGGTGCAGCTATGAGCATTTTGTATGTTTTTTTGGGTAAACACATATGTGTGCATTTTTAGAAGAGAATTTTCTGGGTCACACAGTTTGTACACATTCAGCTTTAGGAAATACCAACAGTTTTTCAGACTGTTCAAGTTTATACTACCATCATCTAGTCATTCCATAATGCACACCACATGTGATATTTTCTGTCTTTCTCATTTTAGTGATTCTGGTCAAGAGCAAAAATTATGAATCTTAGTATTGCCCAATTTACCATAAGAAATGACTGCCTATGTACATGTTCAAAATCATGAAGGTAGCGTATTTTGAAAGCGTTGTTACCATATCTTTCACATTTATATCTGTAAAACCATCTGGAACTGATTGCTACAAGCGGTCTGAAATAGGTTAGGTTAGTTTTTTTTAAAAATATGGATATCAAATTGACCCAGAATCACTTACTAAAAAGACCATTCTTTCCCACTGTTAGTGTCACCTTTTCATAAATCGGGTGACCATTTATGTTTGATTTTTGTTGGACTTTATATTCTGTTCCATTGGGTTATCTATCTTTGATCCAAATACCACAGTGTCCAAATTACTATAATTTATTTATTTATTTTTATGTACAACATCTTTATTTAGGCAACTGTTATTAGGCTCTGGTCTAGATCCTCACAGTCACCAGAGCGCTCTTAACCCACAGTCCCACCCAAGCCTCCCTTCCTGCCCCACCAGAACACCACTCCCTCCTGTTGGTCAGGAATGATTTGGGCAGCAGACCCAGGTGGTCCCAGGACTCCAGCAGCCTGTTGTGGTGGGGTGGGGTAGGGGCATGACAGAGCTTCCTAAGGAAGTTACGGGACCTTGCTTCGAGATATTCAGAAGTGCTAGTCAAGTTCTGGCAGCCTAAACTCTTCCTCCTCCAAGCTGAAATCCGAGAGATACTCATTCTCCTCTTGGCCATACCGCTTCCAGGGAGAGCAACTGACTTGAATTAAACGATGCAGCTCCTCTTCCCATCTGACATCTATGATCTCTTCACTGGGTCTGTACTCCACAGCTATTTTACCACTTTCTAGAACCACAATCAACAGTTTCTGGAATGCGTTTGACAAAGCCTTCTGAATAGCAAGCTTCTGGGCTGTCTTCCTTTTCATAAGGAATGATAGCGGTCCTTCCTCCATCTTATTCACAGGCTCCTCCACCAAGCCAGTGCCAGGAGTCCTGCAATCACAGGATGGCAACACCACCTCTAAAGCACAGAAGAACTTCAGGCTTTGCTTCGGAAGTGGCACCATGGTATCTCCATTCTCCCTTTCTTCAAGGTCAGAAAGCTCCTGCAGCCTGATGATCCTTTTTGAACATCCATTGAAACCGAAGTAGTAATTCGCTAGTTCTTGGCATTGGGAGCTGTTCAGGGGAAGGGCCTGATGTTGAACTGCCTTATGTCTGGTGCCAAGACGAACCTTGACAGGAGATGTCTGAAAAAGCTGCTTCCAGTCGCATGCCTTTTGGGCTCTTGCTGAATAAAACCTAATGACCGCATAGAAACCAGGTTGAGCCACCGCAGCGTTTGGGAAGACCCGGACTGAATACAGAAGGCCAAACTGGGAAAATGCTGTGAACGGAGAATGATGCAAAGCTTCAGCCTTGGGTCCGGAGCTCAGCTCCCACACTAGCAAGGTTTTGTCACTCTCGGTGGGAACCGCAAAAGGTACCAACTCCGCCATCCTTCCTTCACCGCGCCTGCGCGGCTAACCTAAATTACTATAATTTGTAATACACTTTATTATGGAGATAAAATGCCCATAACATAAAGTTCACTATTTTAAGCAGTTTAAACTGTACAATTCAGCCAGGTGCGGTGGCTCACGCCTGTAATCCCAGCTCTCTGGGAGGCTGAGGCGGGCGGATCACCTGAGTCAGGGGTTTGAGAACAGCCTGGCCAACATGGTGAAACCCTATCTCTACTAAAAATACAAAAAAAAAAAATTAGCCGGGCATGGTCAGGGTCACCTGTAATCCTAGCTACTCGGGAGGCTGAGGCAGGAGAATCACTTGAACCCAGGAGGCAGAGGTTGCAGTGAGCCAAGACTGCACTACATCACTCCAGCCTGGGCAAGGAGCAAAACTCCCTCTCAAAAGAAAAAAAAAAAAAAGGGCACACGCATTGGCTCACGCCTGTAATCCCAACAGTTTGGGAAGCCGAGGTGGGCGGATCATAAGGTCAGGAGATGGAAACCATCCTGGCTAACACGGTGAAACCTCGTCTCTACTAAAAATACAAAAAAAATACAAAAAAAAAAAAAAAGTAGCCGGCGTGATGGCACGCGCCTGTAGTCCCAGCTACTCAGGAGGCTGAGGCAAGAGAATCGCTCGAACCTAGAAGGTGGGGGTTGCAGCGAGCCGAGGGCGTACCACTGCACTCCAGCCTCAGTGACAGAGAGAGACTCAGTCTCAATAAATAAATAAATAAAGTGTGCAATTCAGTGGTTTTTAGTTATTCATAATGTTGTGCACCGATACCACCATTCTAGAACATTTCCATCATCCCCAAAAGAAACCCTCTACCACCTGATTCTCCTCTCCTCCCATCTGCTGGTTGACACTAACCTACTTTCAGTCTCTCTAGATGTTTTTATTTGAACATTTATATAAAGGGAATCATACAATATGGGATCTCCTTTGTCTGGCTTCTTTCACTCAGCATAATGTTTCCAAGGTTCATCATGTTGTGCCAAACACCAGTATTACATTCCTTTTTATGACTACATAAAATTCCATGATATGGATATACCATATTTTGTTTATCCTTTCATCAGTTGGTGGACATTTGGGTTTTTTTCTATTGTGGGATTATTATGAGCATTGCCGCTATGAATGCTCAAGAACAAATTTATTGTATGACCATGTTTTCAATTCTTTTGGGTATATGCCTAGAAGTAGAATTGCTGGGACATATGGTAAATCTATGTTTAAGATTTTGAGTAACTGCCAGACTGTTTTCCAAAGTAGAAAACACATTTCATTTATACCAGTAATATATGAGGGTTCCAATTTCTCCACGTCCTCACCCATACTTGTTTTTAATTAAAAAAATTATGATAACCATCTTAGAAGGTGTGAAGTGATAGCTCACTGTGGTTTTGATTTGTATTTTTCTAAGCTAATAATTATGTTGAATATCTTTTCATGTATTCGTTGGCTATTTCTATATCTTCCTTGGAGAAATGTGTATTCAAGTCCTTCACTCATTTTTAATTGGGTTGTCTTTTTATTGTTGAGTTGTCAGATTTCTTTATATACTCTAGATACTACACCCTTATCAAATATATAATTTACAAACATTTTCTTGCATTCTTTGGGTTTTTTTCACTTTCTTAATAGTGTCCTTTGATGCACCAAATTTTTTAACTTGTCTTTTTCTTTTACTCTTTAGACTATTGATACTATATTAATAGTTAAAAAATTATTTTCTGGCCGGGCGCGGTGGCTCACGCCTGTAATCCCTGCACTTTGGGAGGCCGAGGCGGGTGGATCACAAGGTCGAGAGCTCGAGACCATCCTGGTCAACATGGTGAAACCCCGTCTCTACTAAAAATACAAAAAATTAGCCGGGCATGGTGGCGCGTGCCTGTAATCCCAGCTACTCAGGAGGCTGAGGCAGGAGAATTGCCTGAACCCAGGAGGCGGAGGTTGCAGTGAGCCGAGATCACGCCATTGAACTCCAGCCTGGGTTACAAGAGCAAAACTCCGTCTCAAAAAAAAAAAAAAAATTATTTTCTAACCTAAGATCATGAAGATTTACAACTATGTTTCCTTGTAAAAGTTTTACAGTTTTAGCTCCTATAAATTAAAACTATAGTAATGTAATTCCTCTACTCTTGGCTCTCCTCAGAAATTTGCACTTCTGTATAAATTTTAAAATCGGTTTAACTATTTTATAACAAAATTAAAATCTCAACTGGATTTTCATTGAGTTTATGTTAATTTATAGATTAATTTGGGAAGAGTGGACATTTTTACAATATTGAGTTCTTCAAATCATGAATACGATATATTTCTTTGTTTATATTATCTTTATATTGTCTGAAAATTGCATTGCAATAGTCACCATAGAGGAACTTGCATGATTTTTGTTATATTTATTATTAGACATTTGACTTTTTAAATGCTCTTGTATATACTATACGTTTTTCTTTTCTTTTCTTTTCTTTTTTGAAATGGATTCTTGCTCTGTAGCCCTCTGTAGTACAGTGGCATGAGCTCGGCTCTCGGCATCCTCCGCTGGCCAGGTTCAAGAGATTCCCCTGCCTCAGCCTCCTGAGTAGCTGGGACTACAGGTGTGCACCACGCCCAGCTAATTTTTTTTTGTATTTTAATAGAGACAGGATTTCACCATGTTAGCCAAGATGGTCTCGATCTACTGACCTCATGATCTGCCTGCCTAGGCCTCCCAAAGTGTTGGGATTACAGGTGTGAGCCACTGTGCCCAGCCTTATACTATACATTTTAATTTTATTTTCCATGTATTTGTTGCTAGCATTTAGAAATACAACTAAAGTTTTGCATACTGAACAGATCTTGTAGCCATTGACCAACTCATTTTTTAATTCTAGTAGCTTATTTATAGGTTATTTTGAATAGTCTACTTTCATAATCATTTTGTTTGATAACTGATTTATTTATTTTCAATTTTCTTGTCTAATTTATGACTGTGGGGGAGAGTTTCAATATTTCACCAGTAAGATAATGTTTACTGTGAGCATTGACGTCCTTTGTCATGTTAAGGTAGTTCATTTCTATTCCTACTTAACCAAAAATCTTTACAAAGAATGAATGTTGAATTCTATTCAGTTTTTTTCTTCCATTTATTAAGACAATTTCATTATATGTCTCCTTTTTTGTTAATGTAATGAATTCTATTAGCCAATTCTTAAATATTAAACCACTCTTGCATTCTTGGAATACAACTTAGCTGTGCTGAATTATTCTTTTGATATTTCATTGGATAGTATTTACATCTATCCTCATAAAACAGATTTTTTGGGGGTGTTTTTCTTTCTTGTAATGTTGTAACAGAACTTGTTATCAACGTTATGCTGGCTCATAAAATGAATTGGGAAGTGTTCTCTGTTTCCTTTTCTCTGATAGAGTTTGCATAAACTTGGTGTTATTTTTCTTTGCAAGTATTTGGAAGAATTTACCAATGAAGTCATTTGAGCCTGTTTTTGTTGTTGCTTTGCTACTGTTGTTGAAAGGTTTTAAATGATGAATTTAATAGATATCACACTAATCACATTTTCTGTTTATTCTCCTGTTTAAGAAGATGTGTTTTTAAAGAACTTGTTTGTTTACCTAAGTTGACAATTAGTTTTGAATTAAAGTTGATCATGATATCTTATTATCTGTTTAATGTCTGTTGGCTTGGTAGTGATGTCCCTTTTCATTCATGATGTTGGTAATGGTAGGGTTTCTCCCTCTCTTTCTGTTTATCTTCTTAAGTGTTTCTAGAGTTTATTGGTTTTATTATTTCTGATAAATCAATGTTTGGCTTTGTTGCTTTTCTCTGATTGTATGATTGGTTTTTGTTTCATTGATTTCTCCTCTGAAATCAATTTCAGAGGAGAAATTTGCTTGTTGTTATCTTCTTTTGTACTTTAAGGTTAAATTTACTTTAAGGTTAAGGTTAAACTTTAAGGTTAAATTTTACTTTAAGGTTATTTTTTTCTTGATATTTAGGTATAAGCATAGATATAATGCTTGGTAAAACTCATACTCTTAGTTGAAGATAAAAGAAAAAAGGTTGAATATCAGTTATCTGATATAAGAAAAATAAGGCTAAATGTCAGATAATCTGATCAGTTAAGAGTATGAATTTTTAGCTGGGTGCAGTGGCTCATGCCTGTGATCCTACCACTTTGGGAGGCTGAGGTGGGTGGATCACCTGAGGTCAGGAGTTTGAGACCAGCCTGGTCAACATGGCAAAATCTGTCTTTACTGAACATACAAAAATTAGCTGGGCGTGGTAGCACATGCCTGTAATCCCAGCTACTTGAGAGGCTGAGGAAGGAGAATTACTTGAACCCGGGAGGTGGATGTTGCAGTGAGCTGAGATTGTGCCACTGCACTCGATGAGAGCAAGACTCCCTCTCAATAAAAAAAGGTATGAGTTTAACCAGGCATGACTTTACCTGTACCACATGAATTTTGACTTGTTATAGCTTTGCTAACATTTGGTTCAAGATACTTTCTAATTTCTATTTTGATATCTTCTTTTGCTTATAGGTTATTTGGAAGTGTATTGTTTAGCTTCCAAGAAGCTGGGGATTTCCTAAGTATTTCTGTTTCTCATAACTTAGCCTAATTCAGCTATAATATGGTCCAAAAATATTCTCTATGATTTCAATCCTCAAATTTGTGGCAACTTACTTTACATGACCAAATATAGTTAAATTTCATAAATGTTCTGTGTGCGGTAACAAATATAAAATGTACCATTGTATGATGCATTGCTGATTATATAGGTCACATTTTTTGGTTGTGTTTTTCAGATTCTTCACATGCTTACTAATATTTTATTTGCCTGTTCTATTAGCTACAGAAAAAGATATGTTAAAATCTGCCACTACGATTGAAGACATGTCTATTTCTACTTTTAGTTCTATCCATTTTTGTTTTATTTATTTTCACACCATATTTTTGAGCGCATTCAGATTTGGGATTATAATAGCTTTCTGCTGGATTGAACTCCTTATCATTTTTAAATATCCCCTTTATCTGTAGAAACTCTTACCAAGTTAAAGTCTATTTTGCATCATATTAATATTGCTATCCTAGCGTCTTTGGTTATTGTTTGTATATCATATTCTTATTTATATTTTCACTTTCCATTTTATGTGACCCTATGCTAAAGCTTCATCTAAGCAACTTATAGTGTGGTTATTTTTTCTCATTCAGTCTGAAAATTTTATATTTTAATTAAAGTTTTAAATACTTTTATATTATGTAAAGTAGTTACTGTTGTGTAGAATTTTATTTGGGTTATTTACTTTCAGCACTGTAAAACTATTGTTCCATGTCACCTGGCTCCCATAATTTCTTTTGGCAAATCATCTGTTAATTGTAAAAACTGATCTTTTTCCTTACAGGCTGCTTTTCAGATTTCTCTTCCTCTCTCTCTCATTCTCTCTCTCTCTCTTTCTCTCTCTCTCTCTCTGAGATGAGATGAAGTCTCATTATGTCACCCAGGCTGGAGTGCAGTGGCATGATATGGGCTCACTGCAACCTCCATCTCCGGTATTCAAGTGATTCTCCTGCCTCAACCTCCTGAGTAGCTGGGATTACAGGCACATGCCACCAGGCCTGGCTAATTTTTGTATTTTTAGTATAGATAGGGTTTCATCACTTTGGCCAGGCTAGTCTTGAACTGACCTCAAGTGATCTGCCCACCTTGGCCCTACCAAAGTGCTAAGATTACAGGCATGAGCCACCAGGTCCAGCCTCTTCCTCTCTCTTTAAAAACTGGTTTTATGATAATATATCTAGGCATAGTTTCTTTTGGCTTTGTTTGTTTGTTTTGTCTTTTGTCTTTTCCTCCATCACCTGTGGAATGTGTTAATGGTCTCCTTTGTGGGTTTTTTTTTTTTCCTTTTGACTAACTGAATTTCTTTAATAAGTGAGTTGATATTTTTCATTAGGTTTGGAAAATGCTTGTCAATTATCATTTCACATCTTGATTTTGTGTTATACACTTTCTTATCTCCTTTTGGGATTTGAATAACATGTAAGAACTTTTAACTGTTTCCCATTTATATCCTATTTTCCTTTTCTTTTTATCCATTCTTTACCTTTCTTTGTTTCAGTTTAGACATTTTTCTATTGGTTTGTTTTTCTGTTCATGAATCCATTGGTTCAGACTGAACCAATGTACATCTCACACACATTGACTGATGTCTCATTTCTCCCTAACATGTTTAAAACCACCACATTCTAGCCTCAACATTTGCTGGTTTCAGAAAAAAAATGAAATCTTTACTCTAGTGTCTAATAAAAAAGAAGTTAAAACATAGGCACCTATTTAAAATGTCAAAACTGAAAATGCAGAGGGGTTATCTGGATCTGAACTGGTGTCTCATCAACCTGCAGTCCAGTACTCTACCCCTGAGCCATCCCCCATACTACTAGCGTATGGGTTAGTTAAAGTCTTTGACTTGTACCGTCACACCCAGATTACCAGTAACCTATGAGTTGCCACTTCACAAGGGAAGCTCCTAGGACCCGCCTGAGTGAAAACTCACTGACCTTGTACATAACAAGAGGCAATCCCCCTCCTCAAATACCCCGGAGCCTGTGTCTTCCCTGCCTTGAGTCCTTGGGTGCAGGTGGCAGCCTGGAAAACACTGCCACTGGCTGCTAGAATGGCCTTCAGGGTGAGCCTCCAGTGCCTGTCATGGTGGGCACCTACAAGAGAAACTCCGTGTGACTGAGGTGTCTGTTCTAACACACTCAGTGACAGAGTTGGGCCTGGCTCTCCTAGCCAAGTATTCCATTCAGGGCATTTTCAACACAACTCTAATCCAGGACAAAAGATGATTCTTCCAACTTCCACTTCTTCAGTTAATATCCATGGAGAATGATGAAGAAGGAGCAACTCCAAGAAATAGTGAGAACTGGGTAGCTAAGTAGATTTTGGAATCTCCAAAAGCCTTAAAAGGGCCAGTGTCAACCTAGTTTTAAGGACCAAAATATGTTGCTAGAGGACAACGCCACTTGACTCTTTCATTTTTTTTTTTAAGCAACAGGGTATTGTACTGTTACCCAGGCTGGAGTGCAGTGAAACAATCATAGCTCACTGCAGCCTTCAACTTCTGGGCTCAAGCAATCCTCCCGCCTCAGCCTCCCAACTAACTGGGACCACAGGTGTGTGCCACCATTCCCAGCTAATATTTTTTATTTTATTTTTTTGTAGAGAAGACATCTCATTTTTTTAAGATGGAGTTTCACCATGATGGCCAGGCTGGTCTTGAACTCCTGACCTCAGGTAATCCACCCACCTCGGCCTCCCAAAGTGCTAGGATTACAGGCGTGAGCCACTGCGCCTGGCAAGACATCTCACTATGTTGCCCAGGCTAGTCTCAAACTCCTAGCCTCAAGCGATCCTCCTGCCTTGGCCTCCCAAAGTGCTGGGATGACAGGTATGAGCCACTGTGTACAGCCTCCCACGTGACCTTTTCTGATGGCAGACAGAGCCCTGTCCCGTCTAGAAGGAACACTTGGAGTAACACTTCGGTTAGCTCCTTTTCACTTCCTCAGCAGTACCAAGGCCCACCTCTGCTCTTGTCACAGAAGGTTGTAAACTGTCCCTTCTGCGAACTGCCTTTCCCTCCTACTGGAATTTTCTCCTTTACCCACAGTACTTTGCCTTGTAGCCCTGGCAACCTACTCAGAAGGCAGCCAGCAGCCAGCCAGTCCTCTCCACTCCTGGTCTGAGGGCCTGGGAAAACCCTGATTTCCACAGTGATTTCTATGATGATGTCGCATTCCTTCAAGGAACACAGAGATGGTCACTTAAGTCCAGACTGCACTTTGCTCCACTGCTCATGTCCTTCAGGACACACCATGAAAGCCCTAGTTCCCCTAGGAGCCATATTGCCATGGATGTAACATCTCTGTCTCCTCAAACAGGAATAAGACCCCTGTTCCAAGGCAATCCAGGAGTAGCACTTCCAGGCAACATGGCAGGGACTGACCAACATGTTGTTGTCTTTGAGGAAGGTGACCCTTAATCCTCTTAAGCTTCTAAGACCACTTCCCCCTTGACTTCTACATTGCATTTCAATAGGAGACCTGAAGCCTGCCAGAGCGGGTGCCACCCTTAATCGCCGGCCTATAGATCGAATGCATGCTATGGAGGAATCTTTCAGGATGGGATTGTTTTTTCTTAAACACAATCAAACCCCCACCTAGTCACATACCCCACACTTACTTCATGGATCAAGACCCTAGACAGGCATCCCCACACTTTTTACACAGGGGGCCAGTTCACTGTCCCTCAGACCGTTGGAGGGCCGCCACATACTGTGCTCCTCTCACCGACCACCAATGAAAGAGGTGCCCCTTCCTGAAGTGCGGCGGGGGGCCGGATAAATGGCCTCAGGGGGCCGCATGCGGCCCGCGGGCCGGTAGTTTGGGGATGCCTGCCCTAGCACATGTAATTTCTAGGATTGTAAGCCTTCAAAAGGGCAAGGATTTTCTTTGTCAGGGAGCTCTGTTGTTAAGGTATTTTTACCTGCTGCAGCTCCCGGCCAAATAAATCACCATTTGCTTCCCTGTTTGGTGTTCAAGAGGTCTGTTTGCAGCCGATCCTTCTTCAATCTTGATAACAGAAGTAAATTATGCAGAGTGACCCGCAGAAAGGCCACAGTGATAGAGGAAGCAGTGGTCTTCTACAGGGTCCCTATCAAGTGGTAAAAGGAAGGCTGGACTCAGGGACGTTTGCAGAATGATCTAGTCCAATCTCCTCATTTTACATATGAGTCAAGTGCTGACTAACTTGCCCAAGGATCTCTACCGGTTAATAACAGAACTGACAGGTCTCCTGACTCCCAGTTCCCCCCACAATATCCCTGGTGTTCATGTTCCAGCCTAGACAAGGCTCGAGTGTGTTCTGATGTCCCTGCTGGCTTTTTCTTTTTTTAAATCCAGAACATTACAATGAAGTTAAGGAAGTTCAGAATGCCTCCCCTGCACCAGCTCTGTGCCTCCTCCTAAATTTGTAATTTTGCTGAGGAAGGACACCCAGGCATCTGGGATCAACTCCCCCATGACTTCCACACTGCATTTCAATAGGAGAAAAGGCTGGCCATTGGCGCCTCCTGAATCACCTTCCTGTAAATAGCAAGCTTGGTATTAGGGAAACTCTCTGGAAGACACTGTTTTTACTTAAACAAGATCAAACCCCCACCCCACTCCTCCATCAGGAGACCAGAACCTTTTCACATGCAATTCCTAAAGCTGTAAATCCAAAACTCATTTTCTAAGGCTGTAAACCTAAGATTCTTTCATGTGTAATATCTAGAGTGTAAGCCTATATAAAGGCAAAGCCTCTTTTTGTTAGACGAGCTGGGTTTAGACAAATTATCGCCTGGCTCCTGGCCGTAATAATAATAATAATAATAATAATAATAATAAACCCCTTCCTTCCCATTAGGTGTCCAGGAGCTTTGTTTCTCGAGGCTGCTCCTGCTACATCCAGAGGCTTCTTCTTAACCATGTTCTCCCAGATTACACAAGCTTCAGATCCATAAAACATGGGTCCACCTCCAGCAGCGGAGATGTGTTACTTGCAGGGGAAGGAATCATGTGGAAGAGCTGAAGGGAAAAAACAGGAAAACCCTGGGGCAGGTCTCCTACAGCTCATGGAATGAGTAGGGTGATTTTACCCTTTGCGGGATTTACTCCAAAAGACGCAATGATGCCAGGGGCTCCGGGAAGGAAATCTCTGAACCCCGTCATTTGAGGGGCAATCGGTGAGAGACGGGAGGCATCAGAAAACAGCTAGGTTGTGTCTGTGACTGGAAGAAGAAAGTCGAATGCAGGAGCATTGGCAACACGGTGAGTCAGGTGACTCTTGGGGCAATTCCATTTTTATACACAAACAAGAATGCAACCCGGATGATACCCGAGATGTGTGTTCAGCCCACGCTGATGAAGAGAAACTAAGGGACAATGTTCGGATCCTGGTCCCTAGGCCCGGCAAGTCCCATAGACTCCGCACCAGGTGGCGCAGCTTCTCGCGCTGGAAAGAGCCCCACTCAGCGCAGGAGTCTGAAAGGCAATGAGCCTCTGTAACCACGTGGGAGCCCCGGTCCAGGGCGTCCTCCATCCCCAGTCTCTTAAGGACTTTTACATTTTTATTTTTCTATCCTTGTTATTGAAAAATTAAAACGTAAATTAGAAAATGCATAAAAACGGCCTGTGGTCTATTAAACTATTTTGTCCATGTTGATATATGTATGCTTCCAAACTTTCAAAACTATAGCTATGCATGTACACAGTATATAATGCTACATGATGTCATAATTTTAAAACAATGACAGGATCGTTCTGGACAGGCTTTTTCGCTTAAAATATCATGAACATCTGTCCATACCAAGTTCTTCCCCAAAATAATGTTCAGTAATGGTATTGCGTTCCACTGCTCATGCCATTAAAAATATTTACTGTAATAAATACCTGGTAGAAAATGCTACATGGTGTCTACCGGGTTTACCGAATATATTCCTTCCTATTGTTGGAAGTATTTATTCCATTTCAAACACAGATGGGGTGACTTACAGCTGACCCCCACAACAAAGAGCCCGAACCTCCAGGCCTAGGACCTCCGGCGGCAGAAGTGCTTGTTCGGGCGCGCCGGGACCCAGCGGGACCAGGGAGCGACCCTCTTGCTGCGGTCACCCCCGGGGGCGCCCTGCCCGGAGGCCTCTGCTCGCCCGTGGACGCGGCCAGGCGGGTCCCATGAGGGGGACTCTTTTGGTAACCAAGTCACTCCGCTTGGGTCGCGGGGCCAATGCAATGAGTGTGCGCTGGCACCCGGCAGTCGGGGAGGGGGCGAGGAGTCGGCCAGGGGTCGCCGATTCCGCTCCTGGTAGCTGGCAGGCTCCGTGCCTGCCGTTCGCCTCCCGTGCTGCAGGTGGGGCTGTGGGGCTGCGCTGCCTCCAGGAAACCGCACGTGCCTTCGTCGGCAGGCCCCGGCGCCGGCTCCCAGCATGCAGTGCGGACCCGCCGGGCGCTGAAGGCGTTGGCGCGTCTGCGGGCGGCGCAGGGCGGTTGCGGCCAGGGAGGAGTGGCGGCGGAGGCAGGGCGGGGCGGGCGCCGCCTGTGGAGAGCACTGGGAGGTCAGGCGTGGGGCCGCGGCTCAGGTAAGGGCGGCCTGCGCGCGGCTTGGGGGCCCGGGGCGGCCTGGCCGTAATACCGCGCTTGGGACTCCGGGGAACGGGGCGCGAGGTCCGCCGGGGGACCTGCCGCTCTTGCCGGCCGGGCCCCCCAACTCCAGGCCGAGCCCGAGCGCCGGCAGAACGGTTGTCCCCGCGCCGGGGCCGCCCCATGCCAAGTGGTGGGCTGCAGGGGAAGGAGCGTCAGGGGGCCGCCTGGTACCGCTGCTCACCCCTCCTGGCGTGATGCTCTGCGCCTCTGTGGTTTGAGCCGGGCTTTTAGGGGAGGCTAGGATTTCATGAGGTCGAGCTAGACCGGTGGAGCTTTCAGGGAGGGAGGAGTGCCTGGGCAAAGGGGTAGAGAGACCGGACAGAGCAGGGCGTGTTCAGGGGAAGAGGGAAATGAAACAATAATAATAATAGCTGTAATTGCTGCATAATAAAGTTTACTGTGTTGTATTCGATATAAAATCTAACCCCTAGCTCTGCTGGAAATTAATTAACTCCCTGTAAAACCTACCTTATCTATTCTCCCCACCTTCTCAGCAAAGTTCCCAGGCATCTCAAGACTCCTGTTTTTCTTGCTGACCAGCTGCAAGGTCACAGGGCAAGATAACACCCAAAGAATGTACAATGTGTTTCTCAGAATGCTATTTTCAAATGTAACATACATCACAAGACATGTTACAAATTAATTAACTGTCCTGTGTTCTGGCTGCTGTAAACCTGTTAACTGCTAAGGCATCCTACATGTATAAAAGTCAAGCCCTGTCTTTGTTAGGCGCTCAGCCTTGGGATGCTAATCCGCTGAGCCTGTGGCCACCTTAATAAAATCCTCCTGTTTCACCCATTGGTCTGTCCAGTCTCCTGAATATTCTGCAACGCAGGAACAGAATGCAGTCCCATGAGCTTGGAGAAGATGCTTTTGGTTCGGAGGCAGTGGGAGAGGAGGCTGCGGAGACTAGGAAGGGGCCTGCATGCCGGGGCTTGATCCTGCGGGTGGGCAGCGGGTGAGGGATCTGGCTCCTCTTACCATCAGCTTCTCTCAAGCAAAGAGTTTGGGCTCCCCAGGCAGGAGTCTAAGGACAGCCCCACATATTCCAGCCACCAGTCAGTAAGAAGCTGGGCTGGAATGGGCAGCGCACAGTTGCCACCTCCCACCTCGTGGTGTGAAGGCCTCACACAGGGCTTCCTGGCCCCATCACAGTTGTAAGAAAACCGTGCATCCTGTTGTCCATGTATAAAAGATGAATATTTTCCTGATAAAGTAGTTTATGCAGCGATCCCTTTCATGCCACACAAAGACTGTAATAATGCACTTGGAGGATGGGTAGGATTTCAGCGGATGGGAAGCTGGTGACCAGGTACAGGGATGCTTCCGGAGTAAACGCTTGGCGTCTGGGATCACGTGACAGGGATTGATCTGAGAAAGGAGAGGCGAGGGAAGGAACAGTGGCTTAGGTGGAGGGCAGACTCAAGCCCACAACCAAGTCGGCCCACCCAGGTGCCTGTGGGACCTACTCTTTGAGAGCAGGACCCCCACCCACATTCAGGTTTTTGCCTAGAAACAGTTTTGCCTGTCCAGAACCTCCTAATCTTGAAGACCCCTTAGAGTCCTACCGTCTTTGGATCCCTGCTTCATTCCAAACAGCCGGACAGGCTTTTGACCTCTGTCCTGGACAAGTTTTTTTGGGCCTCTGCTGAAACTCTCATTTTGTCTCTGTTTTTTGAGGTGTCCGTTTACACACTAGTTCTCAATGACTTTCTCTAAGTCAATCCACACTGGTTTCTAGTAGCCACTTCTTCATATTGCTAATAGTCACCAATCTCTAGTTGAGGGATTCTTTTGCAGAACGTCCTAAGGAGGCGTCAGTCTTTGGGCATGGATACTGGGAGCTCCTCTCTGCCCTGTAGGTCCCTTCAGATACGGGTGGCTCAAGTAGTCTAGCTTGCCACCTAAGGCAAAATGTGCCTGTTCTTCCTTGTCACCAGCTGCCGGTCACTAATATGCCATGTGAATGTTTCCAATGACAGGGAATCCCCTTGTCTTTAATTAAGATGGTTATTGCCCATATGTAAGTGTAACTTTGTGACATATGTCAATCTTTCTCACCAGACTGTAGGGCATGTTACTGCCCCTGGGGCGGCTACGAACATGTATGAGGCCATCGTTTTAACCTTGAGGGGGTGGGAATTGGGGAAAGAGAAAGAATCTTTTGGGGCTCATGCAGTGTCAAAAAACCTAACTGGCCAATGGAGGTTTGCAGTCGTGGGGACTTTAGCTTGTGGGGGAGGGGCAGATGGGAAGGGAACAAAATGAGACTGTCCTGGGGGAATAGGAACTGGCCATTAGATTTTTATGTTTATTAACAGAGGACATGAAATGCTTTAAAATAAAAATATTGAGCAATACTCTTCTTTGCGCTGTTTTAGTGAACCAGCTGGATTTTTTTGCTGGGTCATCAGTAGTCAGTTCCTGTATAATGAAGACAGGAGGGGCAGGCTGGGCTCTGGTAAATCTGCAGTTTACCATTTCTCCATTAAATGCCCAGCAATGCTAAGTCACTGTTTACATAGCAAGATTGCACTGGGTACCAACCATGTGTCAAGGACTGTGGCGTGAAAAGATGCAGTACCATGTTCAGGGAGCCCACAGTGTAGGCATGGGGAATAAATTACCGTGTAGGGTGGTAAGTGCCATGATAGAGGTCTACATTGTGCTGCAGAGGCCTGGAGCAAGGGCCCCCTCGCAGACATAGACCTAAGATACCCAAGCAGTGATTGCCAACTTGAGATCTGGCATATGGTATGGGATGGCCCCACTTGTCCACACACGTGAGTTCCCAGCCCAGCTCCCCTGTGCTTAGGGAGAGAGGGGATCAATGAAGACAATGGGTGGAATGAATGATGTTGTTTCTCTTGTTTCTGAAAGATTTCTCCGTGGACAATGGCAGCCACGATTCAGGCCATGGAGAGGAAGATTGAATCACAGGCTGTTCGCCTGCTTTCCTTAGAAGGTCGAACCGGAATGGCTGAGAAGAAGCTGGCCGACTGCGAGAAGACAGCCGTGGAGTTCGGGAACCAGCTGAGGGCAAAGCCGTGTGGTAGTACGAGCTGCTGCAGAGGCAGCTGGAGCCCAGCAGGAACTTCTGGATCCTGCGACTGCACCCAGGAAGCAAGGGGCAGGCCCCCAAGGTAGCCTCAGGATGCGTTGTGGTATGGGAGTCTGAGAGGCTGAGCCTTTGAACCCATGCATGAGCAAGTATGACATTTGTGGTTCTAGGTGCCCGTGACCTTTGATGATGTGGCCGTGTATTTCTCCGAGCAGGAGTGGGGCAAGCTGGAGGACTGGCAGAAGGAACTCTACAAGCATGTGATGAGGGGCAACCACGAGATGCTGGTCTCCCTGGGTAAGGCCTGACACTCATTTCTCTGTTAAATGGGATTTTACAAGTCCTTGTACTTCTCCCTCCACGTGGCTATTTTCGTGGCACTGTAAATATGTAAATCACCAGAAACGTTGTTGACCTTGCAAGTTGTTACTTCCTATGAAAGATGAGCCCTGGGTGATGGAATCAAAAGCTCCCCTCTGTGTTGAGTTTCCCAGAATGCCAGGCTGGGAGAGGTGGTGGCATCTCTTCTCCGCAGGCCCAGGGTGTGGACCTTTCTATTGGTGCTGACTTGGAGCAGGGAAGGCCCCTCCTGCTCTCAGATCCAGTATATAATCCACTCACATTTGAGAAAGACTTTCTTTCAGCCTTCTGCAGAGATGCGTGGCCCTTACGGCACCATGCCTCGAGGTCAGTGGAGACCATGGGCAGACGGTGCTGCTTGCAGCAGACATTTTCTTCGTGCCTCAGAACTCTGCTTCCCTCAGCCCCTGGGGCTACTGCTGCTCTCATTTGATCCTGCCCAGGAAGGGCCTGGACTCTATTTCTTCCTGGGCTGATTTCCTCTTCCCGATGGTTTCTGTGTGACCCCGGAGCTGAGGGCAGTGAGGCCTGATAGAGAGGACGGGAGCCGGTGCAGTCGTGAGGTGACATTTCGTCAGCACAAATGTGCCACAGTTTCACATGCACGCTCTGTGGCAGTTTCTTCACTCTGGCGCTGCTGACATTTGGGACCGGGTGATTCTGTGTCGGGGCCATCCTCTGCATTGTAGGATGTTCAGCAGCAGCCCTGACCTCTACCCCCAGATGCCAGTCACCTCTCCCCAAGCCCTGGGCACAGCAATCAGAATTGTGTCCAGATGTTGCCGAACGTCCCCGGGGAGCAAAACTGCCTGTGTCTGAGAGCTCCTGCTCTGTGACAGTCAAGAGATTTCCTTTTTAGACCATTGCTGGTTTTCCGGGCTGACTGTCCCCAGCTCTGACTGGAACGAGGCAAAAACTAACCTTCTGTCTTTCCTCAGACTACACCATCTCCAAGCCCGAGGTCCTCTCCCAGATTGAACAAGGGAAGGAGCCCTGCAGCTGGCGCCGCCCCGGCCCCAAGATTCCAGATGTTCCTGTGGACCCCAGTCCAGGTAAGGGCTGGGAGAAGGCCAGGGAGGCATCAGGTGATCTGCGGGAGACAGACGGAAAGGCCAGGAACGGTGTGCTCTTTCCAGAGAGAGCCAAGGAGACACGTCAAACTTACTTGCTTTTAGTCTGAGTTTTTTTATGGTGGAGTTTTAACCTCTGATTTACTCAGCTAATGCTCCAGAAATGAACACTTTCTATCAGGGAAACAGGTGACAAACCTGTTCTTGTAGGAAGAGACAACGCCAGGGCACAGATGGCGGGAGGGAGAGGAGGACACTGAGAGGGAAGGCAGGAGAATAGTCGACTCTTGAACAACACAGGGGCCAGGGGTGACAGACCCCGATCCCAGGCAGCCCAAGGTCTATGTCTAACTTTTGACTCACCTGAAAGTTAACTGCTAATGGTCTCCTGTTGACCAGAAGCCTTAATGATACTATTTATAGTCAATAACACATATTTTATATGTCCTAGTTAACTATGTATTGTATACTTTGAATAAGCTACAGAAAAAATATTAGGAAAATAAGGAAAAGGAAATATATTTACTACTCATTAAGTGGAGGTAGGTCATCATAACGTCATCATCCTCAGCGTCACCTTCAGACTGAGTAGGCTGAGGAGGGAGAGGAGGGGTTGTTCTTGCTGTCTCAGGGGTGGCAGAGGAAAAGGAAATTCACTTATCAGTAGGCCTGCATAGTTCAAAACCATGTTTTTCAAGGGTCAACTGTGTATTGAAACCAAGATTAATTCAAAGCTTTGCAGAGAGTCAGACTTGCCTCTGAGAACCAATCTTAATTAATTGATGAATTAATGTATTCATTTTTATTTGAGATTCAGTCTCCCTCTGTCACCCAGGCTGGAGTGCAGTGGTGCTGTCTTGGCTCACTGTAATCTCTTGTCTCCTGGGTTTAAGCAATTCTTCTGCCTTAGCTTCCCAGGTAGCTGGGATTACTGGTACCTGCCATCATGCCCAGCTAATTTTTGTAGTTTTTTAGACTCAGGGTTTCACCGTGTTGGCCAGGCTAGTCTTGAACTCCTAATCTTAGGCCATCTGTCTGCCTCAGCCACCCAAAGCACTGGGATTACGGGTATGAGCCACTGCGCCTGTCTTCAACCTGAATTTAAAGCAGTAGCAGTTGTAGAATATACACCCATTGGTCAGCCATATGGTTCGGTTGATTAGAAGCACACATTTATTTAAAGTGAATCTGGTTACCACATATCAGTGTCTCAGATTTCCCTGGAGCTACTTAGCACCTGTGAAAGTTAATAGAAAGACAGGTGGACACAGGCGAAAAACTGAAATTCCTTAAGTGAAGTGAAGACCTGCTGGGTCATTTGACCAGGGAGACCACACCTCTAGCAGGCTGGACCCTGATTCCTCCGAAGACTCGCCCTTGACCATCCCACCTGCCTTGGTTTTCCCTTTCGTCTGACACTGAGAAAGGTGGTGTTACGCAGGGGCCTCCTGTGCTCCACTTGTGTGAAATCAAACGCGTCTCCCATGTTTGTCATCTCATCTCGATTAGATTGGCACTTTCCTAAGGGCAGAAGCATGTTCCGAGCTGGCCGCTTTGCCAGTGGTCATCAGTTCATTCACAGTTTAGTTCCACAGATGCATTTTGGGAATCTTCTAGGTGTCAAGGACAGTGCTGAGCACTAGAGGACAGAAAGATGGCTGAGAACAGATAGCGTCAGGCTGGAAAAGAGGGTTACAACCCAGGCACATCCAGCCTCCTAGCCTGGGTGGGAGGTTCTGAGTGGGTAGGTTTCGTTGTGTTTACGCTGTGTGTGGAGGCTTCCCTCGCTTCCACGTCATCATTAAATGAGAGTAAAGAAGTCCCCCAAATTATGTTGGTTGCTGGTAAGACCCCGCCACACTCTGTCTGCACCGTACGATGTTCAGCAGCATCCGTGGCCTCTACCCACCAGTAGACAAGATGAGTAGAGACAAACTCCACTGTCCACCTTGAGCCTGTCGGCAGGGGTCCTGTGTGGCCTTTATCCCTGTCCTCTTTGTCCAGGAAACCGGGAATCACAGCTCATCCCTCACCATGTTTGGCCTGGCCCATCCGCTTGTGAGACCTCACCTGCCCTTCTCACCTCCTGCATCCCCCTCCACTGAGCCTTATGGGACTCAGGGCTCAGCAGACCTGCCAGGCCCTGAGTGTTCCCTGCTCGGACTGAGCTCCAGGGAACTGCAGCCGTCCTCTTCCCTGCCTCCCTCAGCCCGGGCCTACTGGGGACAGGGTCATCACCCCTCATGATTGCGCCTCTGCCACCCTCACTCCCTCTCTGGAGACCCTGCCTCTGGGTCTCATTTCTCGTATTTTTGCTGCCTCTGCAGACCTTCCCTCTCTTGTCATTCTTCCTGCTCTCAGTTGTGGCCATGGCAGCCTCCATGCGGATAGTTCTGTGCCCGCTTCCCCTGCCCCATGGCCATCCCTGACTCTGATGACAGTGACTGCACCCTCCTCCCTGATCCTCTCTATCTCCAGCACACCACTCCCGGGCCGCCTCCCACCACCCCTCCACTTCCCTGTCTGGTGTCCTGATTCCAGCAGTTTTCCAGCCCTTAAGACCTGCAGGGCATCCATCTTGCTGCCTTTTCACTGCCTTGCTCATCATCTCCCCCCATGCCCATCATTGTGGTCCCCGCTTGCACACAGCCTCAGTGCCCTTCCCTTCTGTTGTTCCTTGCATCCACCTGGTGAAATCCATCGGTGCTCTGCACCTGCAGCCAAGCAGCTGTACGTGGCTGCAGAGAACCAGGCAAGCTGGCTGCTGGTGTCACGTGACATCCACGACCAGCAACTTCAGTGGGCGCTCTGCCACCCAGTCACACTGCGTCTCCCTAGCCCAGGGGCCGCCGAACTGTGGCTGAGGACCACACCTAGCTTATCTGTTTCTGTATGGGGCACAGCTAAGAATGGTTTTATATTTTAACCCCCCTTTTTTAATTCAAGAGAAATACACCACTCACACAGCCCTCCCCATGCCATCTGCCTGCACCTATGCGCCCTCCTCTGCCATCACTCCTGTGACTGCTGAACTGTTTTTTTTTTTTTTTTTTTTTTTTTGAGACGGAGTTTCACTCTTGTTACCCAGGCTGGAGTGCAATGGCGCGATCTCGGCTCACCGCAACCTCTGACTCCTGGGTTCAGGCAATTCTCCTGCCTCAGCCTCCTGAGTAGCTGGGATTACAGGCATGCGCCACCATGCCCAGCTAATGTTTTGTATTTTTAGTAGAGACGGGGTTTCACCATGTTGACCAGGATGGTCTCAATCTCTTGACCTTGTGATCCACCCGCCTCAGCCTCCCAAAGTGCTGGGATTATAGGCTTGAGCCACCGCGCCTGGCTGCTGAACTGTTGACTCTCCAGCCAAAGCTGTACTTGCAGCTGGCACTGCATCCCAACCCATGCCACCTTCTCCAGAGCAGCACAAGCAATCCTGCCTTGACCCCTACCCCTGCAGTCACTGCCTGCTTCTCCACTCCCCTTTGTGCAGAGCCCCTCGGGAACATCTGCACTTCCCTCCTGTTCTCTCACCGCTTCCACCAAAACCTCTCCAACCTCAGTTACCAGGGCCCTCCATGGTGCTGAAAGGTCTGTTTTTCTTAGCCTGTTTGTAACACTTGCTGCGTTGCTCACTCTATCCCCACCTGCCACCCACCCTCACTGATCTTTTTTTGCTGGTTCCTATTGTCCTGTGGGGCCTGTTGGCCCCAGAGCGCCCTCGGTGCTCACACCCTTTCTCCACAACTTGTTTCCTCACACCCTCTCTCCGCTCCTGTGTTTTGTCCCCCAGGGTCATGGGGCCACATGTACCATGTAGGAATGTGTGCCTCAAACCTGGACCTTTGCCCCAAATTCCGCATGCCCAGCTGCCTGGCCTGCATCTCCACATGAGTGTTTTATAGGCTTACCCCTAAACATTCCCAGAGCTGAGTGCCTATCTTCCCTGAACCGACTGCTGCTCCCTCATTCTCCGAATCCCAGTAAATGGCAGCTCCATCCTTCTACTTGCAGGGAAAACCCCAGGAGTCCTTTCTGACCCCTCCTCCACATCCACATCCACCCCACAGAAACACTACTGGCCTTCCCTGCTAGGTTCTCCCAGAGTCTGTCTACGCCTCGTCCCCTCCTCTCTGACACCCAGACCCATTGTCTATTGCTGAGGTTGCCACCAGCCCCTCTGCTCCTGCCCTGATCCCCACCCACCCGCCAAGTCTCATCTCAGCCCAGCAGAGTGATTCTTTTTAGGCCCAAGTGCTGGCTTTCCATCTGACCCACGCTGTCAGCTCCCCTCCTTCACTTTTCTCTCACTCTCTGCCCAGCTGTACCATCCCCAGTGCTGTACCCTCTGCCCTGTGCATTGCCCTCTGCCGGGAGTGCTCCTCAGACAGGTCCCAACTTCAGGCCTTTCCCATCACTGATACTGCAGCCTCTCCCAACCCAGGACTCCAGGCCTCCTTTCTTCCAGGTCTTCCTGTCAGACAGCATCATGTAATGTATATGTTTCCTATTTACAGATTCATCATATGTCAGGTCTCCCTCATTAGAATGTCAATTTCAAAAGTACAAAAATTTTTTATCTGTTTTCTTCATAAAATCATTCTAGGCATCTATAATACTGCCTAGCACGGAGTAGGAATTCAATAACTATTTGCTAAATGTATGCTGTGCTTTGTAATTTAAAACGTGTGTGTGTGTGTGTGCGGGTGCGCATGTGACAGAATGTACTTTTGATAACATTTAAATCCGTTTTTAGGTCTCCCTAGGGCAACCACTTGTCCTGAATTGTCTATGTTTTTTTTTTTCTATCCACATTTTTTTTTTTTTTTGGACATGTAGTCTTGCTCTGTCGCCCAGGCTGGAGTGCAGTGGTATGATCTTGGCTCACTCCGAGGTTCCTGTGATTCTCCTACCTCAGCCTCCTGAGTAGCTGGGACTACAGGTGCATACCAGCATGCCTGGCTAATTTTTTGTGTTTTTAGGAG